CCTCTATTTTCTACTCTGACTGCAGTAGACAGGTTGCCTTGCTTTATCCACAAGATTTGGCCGGGAAGCTGTTGTAACGGGGCCAGGGATAGGACAGGGCATGGCTGAAGGTGCATATTTGCTGGTAGAGGAGCCGAAGCTCCCTGCTGAGCACAGGTGGAAGGAGCCAAATGCAGCCAGGTGTGGGTCCTGGGTTAAGCTGGGAAGGTGGGTGCAAGATGACTACATCCAGAGGATAGTACTTTATTCCTTCTTCACGCGTTTGTAAATGACTTTGTGCAAATAAGGGACCTATTGATGTTGTAGGACCCCACAGAGATCACGACACAGAAGGAAGGACAGACCTGTCCTTACCTCCTGCGGAGGTTTAGAACAGGTAAGGAGGCTGGGAGCCTGCCTGTCCCACCTTGCTCAAGTGCAACCAGACAGAGAGGGGTAAAGGAACTAAAAATAATTTAATGATCAAAACCTGTCAGGAGATGGTAACTGTGTGTGGTGGGAGGAGACACACCAGTCTTAAAGGGCAAACCTGCCTATGGGCTGTCCCACCCCAGGGCCCCAGTTGCTTCCATTTCTGCTCTTGAACTCTCCTTCTCTCAGTTCATGGCAAAAATATGTTCTTACAAAGTGTTCTGGATCCAGAAGAAGATAGGTAGAGTCACACAGGCTTCTGTGGCAACATTATTAACTTACAGAATCACAGAATCACACCATGTTAGAGATTGGAAGGGACCTCGAAAGATCATCTAGTCCAATCCCCCTGCCGGAGCAAAATAAAAAATGCATTCAGATTGCCTGCTGCCCCCCAACAGAGATGCTGGCAAGAGTATTTTTATTTATGTGGCATCCATGTCAATGTGCCAATGGTTTCTTTAATGATTATGCATGTCCTGCAAATTAGTGCATGTTTTTTTTCCTGGGGATTTTTGTCAATTGTGGAAACAAAACATTCCTCTGTACAAACAAAAGGAATGAAAAAAAGAAAAATACTTGTGGACAACACCATATGGTCTATCGAAGCCCTCAGAAGCACAGTTTGTAGAGACCTTACAAAGGGCCAGTTCACAAATTCTAAGTATTCAGCATGCAAGGGAATGCCATGCATGTGTAACAAGTCATGCCCTTAATGTACAATGGTGAGGACTGTTGACATTGATGCCCACTTAAACTTCCATAAGAATTGCAGATCAGAAATTCCTTTCTCCGTCTTACAGGTCAGAACAATTGCCTACTGATGACTCCTTTGAGATCTGTGTTGTGCCTTGAGGCTGGACACAAATATACATAGGCACCTAATTTCCATGTAGCACCTACAGCTATTCAAAGCCTAGGAGAAGACAAGAAATGGAGATGTAACTTTCCCCCATCCAAAGCCACTTCTGTGCCTAGTTCAGGATCAAATGAAAAAGTCCAGCTCTTTAGGTTTGTTCTTTTGTCCAGTGTTAGTTTTCTATCTTACAAAGCAGGTTTTTCTCATGAGGTTTCATTTGAAGTTGGTTTACATGTCACACGATCAGATGGCCTCAAAATATTCACATAATTTTGGTAGAAACATTTTGAGAGTAGCTTTGCTGGATATTCCCTAAGCTCTAGCCTGATTATTTGAGACAAATATCTACATTAAACCAATGCACATTAAAATAGTAAAATTAAACTTTGTCTCTAAGCAAAACATTTTTACCTAATGGAAGCATAGAACTGGTTGCACTGGTGGACTTCTTGATGAAGCCCCACAATCTGAGTAAAGAAAGAATCCCATCATTTGCATGAATGTGTGCATGTGTTTTAAGACTCTTAGTGAGTGGTGGGAGCTGTGCAACTCTTTCTCTGGACAGCTTTGTTCGGGCATTTTAATCAAGCATATACAGTAACTGAGAATTAGGAAAAATGTTTTAGAGTGTGATTTAAACTACCTAGAAATCCATCAGTACCAAAGGTGATATCTAGAAAGTGAAGTTCAGCTATTTGTCACCTGAATGGCCATCTCCTGCAAGGCAGTCTTACCCGCCAGTGACTCAGCATGAGGGCTGATCCCCATGGGACTGAAGTGGCTTTTACTTGTATCTGTACTTTCCAGTCTGCCTTATCATTCCTTGCTCCTCTGTCTGTAAGTAGAGCCAATACTATTGACTGCCACATGCTTTTACAAGGAGCAAATGCAAAACTCTGTAGGCAAAGCTACCACTTGTCTCAAACTTTAGGGAAGGAGTTAAAGTGTCTCCATCAGCTCTGTCTTCTGCAAGAGACTGCAGGTGACTCCTTTAGGCACATATCTGTGCAGAGAGGTGGTACAGCCTAGTTGCATTGTACCAAAGTCTCAGGCTAAATGGCTATTAAATCCTAATCCATATGGCAAAAATCTATATCCACTTCAGGAAGTGTCTCCTGCTGCGTGTGATTTAGAGCTCCACTGGAACCATGGCAGCTGCACAAAGGATGAATGGGGTTCATTATGTCAAGAGACTTAAGCGAGTGCAAGAAAAAAAAAATAATTAGTCCATCCCGTAAATAGCAAGCATCACCTACCAAGGTGAATGAATGCAGCAGAGAGCGCAAACCCTGCTAGCACGGAGGCTGCTAGGAAAAGACTTGCACTTAACGCATAAACATCTGAGAACATGCTTCCATTTGTAAAAGCATCTTAATGACTTCATACAGGTCCCATAGCAGCCTTCCTTCCCGCGCAAAACGTTACAGGGGAATCTGTTTCTTTAGTGGCGGGAATTGATTGCGGCGGTTTGGGAAAGCACCATTACAACGCTCACATCCATCACCTCTCCTCGGAACGGGAGCTCTGCATGTAATGCACAGCAAGAGGATGTGACAGCGCTCACAGCGCTGCACATCGTGTGCAATGTATATACACCAAGGATACCAAATCTCATAACACATTTTGGTAAGCTTTCTCTTTTTCTTCTTTAATGCCTGGTGTGGAAACACTTTTTTTAAGCAAGGCAATGCTGGCTGCAGGGCAAACCTTAGGGGAAAAAAAAAAAAAAGGGGCCGTCAGACGTTAGGCTGTAAAGCCATATTTTAAAGCACTGAAGATGCCAAGGGCTTGGCATCTGTGACTATGAAACTGTGAAGCCAGATCTAAGACACTTATTTTACTATTTTCAAACTCCTGTACTAAGAAAAAATAATGAAGGAAGTCTCTCTTAATCTGCATATAGCAATCCTGCATTAAGTCTCTTTACAAAGTTTAACTTTTATTAGGTGAAATAACTCAGTGAAACAACTTAGTGAAATCAAACCAAAGTTAATCATATTTTATAAGGCATTTCCAGTCAGTATAATTTACTACCAGTTTTATATTTAAATTTTATTACCTATCCTCAGCTTTTTTGCCTCAAGACCTCATCAAAAAAAGTCCATAGTGTCTGAAATTATATCCCTGATTTTACCGAAAACTTTCTAAACCGAGTACCCTTCAGAAAAAAAGATTTCCCCTATAACATTTAGCCAGCATGCTCTAATGAAATCTGATAAAATCAAATGGCATTAAAGAAAAAAAAACCTCCCTGAAATCACAAAATGCAGTGTGAGCCTTCATATGGCCAGATAATAAGTTTTTGTTTTAAATAAAATTAAGGCTGCTTCCTTTTGAGCCATAGCTATAACTTATTTATACAGCGGATAAACAGAGCTGCCATACCATGCTAAGATGTATTCAAAGATTTCTTTATGCAGCGTCTTCCCAAGTGGAAGATTATTTTTTCTTTAATGCAAATGAAGTCTCTAGGCAGTATAATCCTTTAGTGCAGATGTGAGGCTGGACTGGGACAGTTCTGCAGCGAACAGCTGGAGGCTGAACCCCTTATCCAGCCCTCATTCAATAAGGTATTTAAGAATTTGTACAATTGTACAGATTTTTGTGAACTTAGAATACTGAAGGGTATGGGAGTTAATCCCGTATGTACACTATGAGCCAATGCTCCTGCCCTTTATTACTGTCACCCAGTGTTGCTCCACTTACTTTGAAGCCACTGGAGCTTAAGAAACATTTTTCCATTCCCCGAAGAATTAGCTCAGCGCATGATTATGAGTGCGACCTTTCATATTTTGTTTGGTAAATATTTAAGTGACTGGATTTTGCTTCAGGATCAGTTGTTCTTTATATAGAAGTAAGTTCAGTCACAAAAATTAGGTTAACTCCCCTAGTCTTCTGTTTCTTGTTGGCAAACCACCACTCCAATTTACAGAGAAATAATATAGGTAATTTCTTTACCTCCAGCAAGATACAAACAATCTCCCACAGTACAGTCTCCTATTTTCCTATCCTTCTTTTCACTCTTTTTGTCCAACAGCCTTTTCTTTCCTCTTTCTCTTTTATTTGCCTTTTCTTCTTCATCTCCCCTTCCTTCCTCCATTTTTTTCCCAATTCCTCCTGTCTTTCACCTACTATTCATGTTGTGTCCTGGTTTTTTCAATCCAGTGAGACCTACAGAGCACGGGCACTTAAACACCTTTGTGAAATGGGTTCCCATGCTCTTACCAAGGTGATGAGTAAGTCTGTTTCATGCTGGCTTTGGGGTCTGTGGCCACCGGCCACCTTTCAGATGCAGTGCTCTCACCTGGGTCTTCAGGGGTATCCAAGCTCTCATAGACGAGCTGAACTTGTAAGACGAACTTAACAGCATTCATAATTAAAGTTAGATTGTAGGATAAAACCAGATATGATACTTAGTTTACAGCTGAGAAAAAAATGGAGAAGAAAACCAGAACAAAACCTCTTAATTCTCCTACTCCTTTTATGTGGATTGCTTATAGCAAGATGACAGGTGGAAAAACGGGACATTGAGTGGGTAACCAAGGCGGTGAATAAATGCATCTCTTAGCACGTGTGAGCAAAATCAGGCCAGCAGACTGCATGGCAGAGAGCAGCTGGAAGACAAGAACTTCTCAGGATCTGTCTAGCAAGGGGATACGTAACACCAATATGTCTGTTTCATGTCATGCTGCTGTCTTTTTTTTTTTTTTTTTTTTTCCTGATGTAGTAGCTTCAAAGAGGGAGAAAAGCCCATTTCAATGATGTCGACAGAATGTGTTCAGCCACTTGATATCCCAGAAGACAGACGGGACAAGCGAGATTCACACTGTAACCACTTAGGTAAGTGTCATTAGATGATGTCATTACAGTCATTAGAGAGGGGTTGTCTTCACATCATTCGGTCCTGTCCGGTGTCCCTTTTTCCCCTCCAGCCACACAACTGAGCCCTCATGAAACCTGAGAGATTACACCTTCTGCTGACACTTCTGTTGCCAGATGGAAAGGCAAAGAGCATTTTTCCTGCACATAAATATCAGCCAAAGCTCTAGAGCGAAGTTAATTAAAGAGAAGGGAAAAAATCCATTGTTTTTTTCCCTGGTGGAAAAAGTAGAGTAGTTTCTTCATTTATACCATAGTAAACTGAAAGCTAGGATACGGCTGAGCATTCTCTGAACACATTTTTCATATGCAATTTCCGTAAAAGACTTCAAACACCCCCTTTGCCTCCACTGGGCCAGCTTTTAAAATACTTTTTCTCCTTCATCATCAATCTGTTTCCTCTCTTGTACCTATTTCATACATCACTTTTGCACTCAGAGTACCGGAGGTATCTTTGCTCCGCCACACTCCTAAATACCAGACTTCATACTTGTTAGATGTGCTTTTTGCATATTCATGGTCTTTGCCTCTGCTTCAAATGCTATTTATTACTTCACTCCCATCTTGCAAAATTGTCATGAAGATTTAGCAACCCAGAAACAAAAATCTATTTGTTTGTTACCCTTGTGATGACAATAATGAAACACAAATTCAATTTCACTTGCTTGTCAAGGAAAGTGTCTCACGGCAGGCAAGTGCAGTTTTATAAATTTTATCTGGCCTGCAAGGGAGGTAGCCTAGCGCTGCCTCTGCCACACAGCATTTCTAGCCACAGGCACCACTTTTACAACCACTGGTATGCCAAACTTTATAGTTCCATAAAATTACTTATTTCATTAAGTGCAGAACAAGTCCCATTCTACAGCTGGGAAACTGAGGCAGCTTCCCAAGTCTGCCATCAGGGGTTGGGTAGCGGTGTGGGGGACCCAGCTGAAGCCAAACAAGCAGCTTTTAAGAAATGAAAGCAATGGTTTGTGTGATGATAGTAATGACAAGAGATCTTCAATATTTTTGGCTTGCATAAGCACCCAGAGACGCAGACCTTCGCAGAAAAAACCCTGCTGACCATCTGAGTCAAGGCTTGTTTTAAGGGAAAACCAAAAATCCAGTGTAATGTTATGGAAATCAAAAGCAAATACCAACTGCCCAGTGGAAATAAAGCCAACTCTTGAAGGGAACAATATACTGGCTTGGTTCACCAGTACCTCAGGCTGAGCCCACAGACGCAAATCTTTCCTTCACAAAAGTGCCCTTGTAACTCTTGAAGGCACAGCCCACACAGCGCTGGATGAAACAGGGATGGTCATGGGACCTCTGCACCCCACGGTGCAGCCTTCCCTCTGCCACATAACACACAGCTGCCCACAGCTCTCTCTCTCTGCTTTATGTCCACCATCTACAACACCAAAGGACCACCTAAGTCACTTGACTCCCACATAGTATGGCACAGAGGCCTCTTGTGCTGACTTTCCATTTAAGAGATGTTTCTCCACAGGCATTTTAATGTACTTGAATGAAAGCAGCATTATTAAAGCTTTTATTTTCACCATCTGGTTTATTACTTCCCCTCAGTTTGAATTTCTATTAATCTTTTTTTTTTTTTTTCCTCCCCTGCAGAAGATCTCTCAGAGCAGCTGATTAAGAGCTGTGACCTCAAAAAGAAACCCAGAACAGGTAAAACCATCCTGGCTTCCCAAAACACTGAACAGGAGCAAAAAAAGCCACGGAGAAAAGATACACCAGCTTGGCACACCCCACCGCCTCTAACAGGTGAGCAACACATCTCTTGATTTTGAAAGCCCAATTCAGCTGAGGAGACTGAACCTGGACTAGATGCCCTGATCTGATCTGGTCCAAAATAAAAAAGGATCCAGTTCAGCCCCGCACTTCCTTGTGAAAATGTACTCAGTGCTCGGGGGAAGCTGGACAGGGACAAGGCTGGGAGGAGACCAGAGAAACACACAACCTGTCTGTAGGTTGCTCCTCCTGGAAATTGCCAGGGTCTTGTGCTTATGGGGACTCTGGCAAAAGGTGGGTGTTTTGGGAAGCCAGAAACCACCCCAGCAACAAAGGGGCTCCTTGTAGGATGCTCCCTGCTGCTGCACATCTACAGACCTCTGAAGTTTGAGAGCCAAATGCCACCAGTCTGGGGAAAGGGAAGAACGAGTGGGAGACTGCCACCGAAACCTGACAAGCTTCCAAGATCAGCAGTGGGAATAAATGTTTGTTGCTTCTCTCTGCTAACAAGCACCCCTTGTGCTCTCCAGGGAGAGAGAGCTGTGCTGTTGTTGCACCGAGTTCTTCTTCCCATGCTGCACATACACAGAGGAATTAGCCGGTAACTACTTGCTTGGTCCCCTGCGTACCCACAACAATTCACCAAGTCAAAAACAAGCAGATGAGATTTTCCAGTGTTTGTAATCCAGATATTGAACTTTACGCTGTTCAGCTTTCACATGTATCTTTCTCTCAGCTATTCCCTCTTAGGGAAGAGTGGCTGAGAGGCTGGAGAGCTGCATTTTGTGCCTGCAGTAGCCATATCATAAAGAAAACATTTTTTTCACTAGTTAAAATACAGAGAGTCCAGAGGAGAGCCACAAAATTAATCAGAGGGCTGGAGCACCTCCCCTATGAGGACAGGCTGAGAGAGTTGGGGTTGTTCAGCCTGGAGAAGAGCAGGCTCCAGGGAGACTTAATAGCAGCCTTCCAGTACCTGAAGGGGGCTACAGGAGAGATGGGGAGGCACTCTTTATCAGGGAGTGTAGTGAGAGGACAAGGGATAATGGGTATAAGCTGAGAGAGGGTAGATTTAGACTAGACATGAGGAAGAAATTTTTCACTGTGAGGGTGGTGAGGCACTGGCCCAGGTTGCCCAGAGAAGCTGTGGGTGCCCCATCCCTGGAGGTGTTCAAGGCCAGGCTGGATGAGGCTTTGAGCAACCTGGGCTAGTGGAGGGTGTCCCTGCCCATGGCAGGGGGTTGGAACTCGATGATCTTTAAGGTCCCTTCCAACCCAAACCATTCTGTGATTCTATGGTTCTATAAAATGGGTCATTTCTGTGTGGTCACATTGCTCCCAAGCAGAGCCTTGAGCATCCATACGATTAAAGTACTTTGCTAAGGTGTCTGAGCTTCTGGAATAGAGGAGTGCACTCACCTTTACCATGATTTCTGATGGGCTGCAGTTTACTCCATTAAGTACAACCAGAAGCCAGGAGGCCTGACAGTATTACTGTCTATAGCATACAGGATAAAATTGACCGTATACCGTTGCAAAACCTGAAGAGCATTTACACCATGCAGAGCAGGTCATGCACCCATGCAGCCTTATTTCAGAGCAGTCATTGGGAAAGCTACACAGGTGCAAGTTTCTTCAATGTGAACCAGGCTGAAATGGAATTTTCTTTATTTTTTTTTCTTGCCTGCAGGCATACTTTCAGACTTTTCTGATAATCTGCTGAAAAGGTATGGTATCACAGAGAAGCCACAGAGAGAGAGAGTGAGTCCAGGCTCTCAGATCACTGAACTGGAGCAGAAAAAGCCCAGGAGAAAAGATACACCTGCAATACACACTCCACCCTTGATAATAGGTAAGAAACTTAGGTTAAGGTACTTCAAAGAGCAAGCTGAAAACAGCTAGTGTCAGGGTACGCTTGGGAGGAGGAAGGAGGTTGCTCTGCCCAGTGTCAGCCAGCCATGATTTGGTCCTAAGACCCTTTTTTGGTTGCATTTCCCACATTCCTCTGTCACAGAAGATATCTATCAATATTTCTGAAGGTCTTTGAAGGTGTAAAGTACTGTGTAAATGTTAATTACCAGTGCTAGCTAGGGATGCAGAAACTAGTGCAAGTCTGTATGCTGTGCACTAGCCCTTTCCAGATCACAGGATGGCGCAAAAAATGAATGAACTAGTGAACAAATGACCAAACAAAACCCAAACAAACCCCAGATCCAATTTCCTGTACACCTAATAATTATAAGGTGTACAAATGGCTTCATCAATCCAAACAACCACCTGTATTTGTAGACATCTTTCTTTGTGATTCTGAGCCTTCACAACTGACGTAAACATGTGTAAGAATTCTTTTCATTTAATCAGTATGAGGTTCCCAAAAGCAGAGAGGAGTATGACTAAGTTTGCAGGATCATGGCAGCAAGGATGGTGAATACTAGTGCCTCGCATATTGATCTGCCAAAGGAAAATGCATTTTTCATTTGCTCATTGAACTCAAGCATCCCAACGGCTTGCGGCATCAGAGCTGCTGTGACTGGAGACCTGCTCCAATCATTTGTTGGGGGAAATGAAATCTATCACACAACTTCTGAGACCGACTCCAAATGCTCCACTTTGAAATCTTTAATATAGATAATGAATTGCTCACATAATTGCTGGAGGAAATTACCCAGCAAATTACCTCAAATTCCACATGACAAGTAAATCAGGTGGGAAAAAAATCACAGACTTTTAGGGATTGATTCAGAAACAGAAGCAGAGGCAAAATTTATCAAACCATTTGTAATAAATATAGTTTAAATGTAATTGCTAGCTAGGAAGATGCAGCAAAGGTGAATTATTTCCTTGACTTGTCTCAACAACACTCTGGTTGGATTAGTATCTGGCCACTTACTACTTCACGTTTCTACTCTAGCTCTAACTAGCTCACACTAGTTACACACATTTCTCACTTAAGAGAGAAATGAGAACCACTGTAAGGGTCTTCACCTCTTGCCTCCCATACTCTTAAAAATTGTCAAAGCAAAAGAAGCTAATACAAGTGTTATGGTAACATAAACATGTTATAATCCTCAAATGAATTGGTAATAAAAAACTCAAAAGGGAAGGGGAAAAGAAAGGCGAAAGAAGAAAGGAGAGTAGAGGAGAGGAGAGGGAAAGGGTGAAAAAAAATGTAGTGACCTTCAAATGTGTGACTAAATTCAAACTGTGTTCATTTGCTGTTGGGAAAATGATAGAAACTAATGCCATTTTCAGTTGTTTTCAATTATGTTTTCAATTACACTTTCTTGCCTACTGGTGAAGCCACCTTCCAGCACTCAGCATGGATTCAAAGCTAGATACTGCCTCTCCCTGCAGACAGCTTTTCCAGATCCTGTATGCTGGGTCCATTTTCCAGTGACTGACCGCCTCTGGCAGACTTGTGCATGTACCGGGGCAAAGCAGCCTATGTGTTTGAATGCCCAAATTCCATTCCCTTCCTACTCTAAGGATGCATAGTTTCTTTTCAAGATACAAACCAACATACAGCATTCTGCTGGTTGGAATTTGCCAGCGATGGCTCCAGGGCTTGGTATGAAAAAGTGACTCATTGTGGCTGAGGGCTGGTCCAATATTTACTACTTGTTTACTTTCAGGGTTATCCCATCAGGGTAGCAGACAGAGCACAAACAAACTAAGCTCTTGCGGAACTGCTGTGCAAAATAGAACCTGAATTATAGACTCGGAGACCTGAGAAGCCCTGGCAGGACTACATAAACTAAATAGAGACAGGCCTTTCTGTCCCTGTCTCCCTGTTATTGGCATTGCTGCAGTAAGCAGCACACTCAGCACTGTGTGTATACCTTGCGACCTGCTAATGAGGATTGTCCCTGTTTCTAACATTTCCCCTTCAGATCCCTCCCAGATGCCAATTCAAAAAACTCCACTTAATTGCTTGTAGTAACAGAGCTTAATTACTAGATTATCTTTTTAAGCAGCTGTCCACTCAGATAGCTTTGTTGTAAATGTAGCTAACAAATGGCAGCTGTGTTATCTCTCTCCATTAGACCAGCTGGTTATGAGCACTCTAGGACACTCCCTCTCCTTGCGTGGCCAGAGTGATTTTCTATGGCAAATAAAAGCCAAGTCAAACACACCATACAAAGCAATGAAAATCATCGTGACCCAAGTGAGAAGCAGAATCAGTTTTACACCTTGCAAACACATACTGTGCCACATGCGTACAAATGAGCCACGAGCAGAGGTCTCCTCCAGTGGCCAGCTCCCCTTCAGTCAGCCAACACCTTGGCCTTCTGAAGGGCTTAGACCAGAAGACAAAACATAACCACAAATCTAATGGTCTTCCCCCCCCCTCATTTGACAGTAAATGATTTGACTTTGATCCAAGGCCACTACTCAGCTCCAGGACACTCTATGGCCAACCCCACTGAGCAATATATTCAGCTAATCAAAGTATTTTTAAGAGCTCTTCAGGCCTGTGGGTTTCAGCAAGACTGTAAATACGTTTAAATATGTTTAAATATATGAACGTGGTACCTGAAATGTAGCTGCTTAAGGTTTCTTAATCGGATCAGAGATAACTAATAAAACCACTGTTTCAAACCCTTATGCCCTGGAAAAACCAGTTAAGGTGGCTCCTTTAGGACAACATCACCCCCCCACTGAAAAAAATCTCTGAGGTAGGAGAAGCACAGAAGTTTAATGTCACCTCTTGGCCCTTTCCCATGCAAGGGGTATGACTGGAGCACACCAATACTCTCCCATCCCAGCTGCAGGAGTTGTCTGTAGGCAGTCAAGTGGAACTGGTGCCATCTTGGTGGTTTTCGGATTTATAACCCAGGAGTGGTTTAGATCTAGGTGGCACCTGGCAAATGGTTGATTTAAGCCAACTTCTTCTGCCTATGTTTGAGCTTCTTAACAGAAGCTCTCATGTCACTGTGAGCCTTTGAGGTCCTAGTCTCTACCCAAAAATTGCAAGTAGTTGCAAGTTCTCTTGGGGAAAAATACGACTACATTGTATTTCTACTCTGCTTTCTTTAGTCAGATCCCTAGACAGATATTAACAGAACAACCTACCAACCCTTAAACAGATCTGCTGGATGAGCCACACCTCATAATACACACAGCTGGGAAAACAGAGGCAGGAAGGCTAGGTGGTAAAACAGTCAACAGAGAAAGACTGACTTACAAATGTTCCCCAAACCCAATATCCTGCTCACTCCTTTAAATCCAGAACTTCCAAACTGCATTCAATAAAGCACATTTTCTCCACAAGTGATCAGTGGCATCGTATCAAAGAAAAAAATTCTTTCCCAGTGTTATAGAACTAACTCTAGCTTTGACATCCCATTTGTACCCCCTTTTCCACTGTTTTGCATTAGAAGGCTGATTTTAAAGGCATGTAGTTGTCCTTGAAGTTGCTAGTGATTCATGGTCTGGAAAATCAGTAACCAGCAGCTCTAGGCTATGTCCTCCTCTGAGCTTCGAATCCTGTACTCTACTGGAAACTTTTGGAGTTCATCAGTCACCAGAGTGATTAATTGATAATGGTGTACTATCCTGCTATTGACTGTGGTAAGCATCTGGCATCCTACTGATGTGGGTCCAGCTGAGAGGTGGGGATCTCTGCTTGACTGCTACCTTCCAGCTGTCTCCAGCATCTGCTCTAAAAGAGCTAGTTTATGCACTATAACCATCAGCATTACATAAACATACCTTTCCTTCATCACTTGATAATTTAAATGAGAGTGGACATGATCATAAAGCACTGCACAGCTTTATTTACCTTACATTCCTCTTATTCCTGAGTTTACCCAAAAAACAGGTTTGCTCTCATCAAATGATCCCTTGTAGCTTCACATTTTAAGCATATTTTTGTTATGTTGTCCTCATTCCTCAAATGCTCCATGAAGAAAAAAACAAAAAAAAAATTTCCCCCTAAAAAAAAAACAAACAAAAAACCCCACAACCCAACCCTCAAAGACAGCAGCAGAAAAAAAATTGTGCTTATTTGCCTAAGTTGTCCATATGAATAGAAGCCTGGGTAGGGAACATTCACATCCATCTCTATAAAATGGCATCATTCTTTGCAGTTAACAATGGCAGTTATTCAGTTGCTGCTTGAACAAATTAAGTTCTTTGTGTTTCAAAATAATATTCATTCATGCTTTTCAGTTTATCTCCTGTGCTGAAACCAGGCAGTTCACAAGAACTGCATATATACACGAAGCAGGAGCTAACTTAAATGAAGGGTGGTATAGGTTAATATTTCAATTAATTCATCATCTCTCGAAAAGATTCCAAAGCTGAAGGAAATCTTCCTGTGTGGTATGGGTCTATTTTCAGGCCTCCTCAAGACTGAAAGCTGCCTCTGTGAGAGATCTTTTGATGTAGAAAGAAGCAAAATGGGTTGGTTTGATGGAACAACTCAGCTGGTTAGCACAGACTGAGAGCAAACAGTAGGAGACCAAATTAGGGAGACATTTCGTTGGTCTCAACACAATGGTAACCCTCATCCTGTTTTTAGACCATGTGAACCTCCACACCAAGGAATGTGGGTAGAAAATATGTCTTACAGGTCACTTGCTTTTTACTGGGAACGAGCAAAACCAACACAATCTGCTAAAATAGGGACCAGGAACATTTTCTACCTAGTAATTGTCCTCTCTTCACTCTATTAATTTAATTTCTCTGAATGTAATGAAGAGAACAGTTAAAGTAATTGTGATATCTTGGTATCACATAAAAGTCTCAAGATCTGTAAAGGGTGGACTTACTGGTTTAAGAGAGAAAGAGAAAGAGAAGCAAGAAGAGAGAGAGATTTGTGGAAGGTATGATCCACAGCCTGAGTCTGTTTTCATACTGATCTTAATTCAATGGCTTTTGGAATTTATTGATACTATACAACATCAGTGGGGATGGCACTTGGCATGTGGGTATTCTAACATTTTTCTCTTTTGGCATCTTCATTTGCAAAATCAAATAATATTGTTACATGCATACAGAAAACATGCACATGTTCACATAAGCTGACTCAGTCACAAAGATCACATATGCAAGTTCTTTCCCCTTTTCAGCTTCCCAAACCCTTTTAATAAACAGATTCCCAGGTGAAACTTCGGTGTCTCTTTTCACAGGTAGCAGAAATGCAGTGGATTTAAGAGCACCTGATAATTTTAGCTAAAAAAGCAGTGAACCAATTCTAGTTCACTAAATATCAGGAGACTGATGTGTCAAAAACAAATGAGGAGAAACTCCCATGATGTTGGAAAACTACATCAGAGTCAAGAAGTTAGAGAGGACTGAAAAATTCTTCTTATCCTGATATTTTCTAAAGAAGTAATATTTTAAATCAATTCCTTTTCTCTCTCTCTCGCTTTCTTTTTTTTTTTTTTTTTTTTTTTTTTTGTGTGTGTGTTCTTCCATTTTTAAGGCACTAAGCTGCTTACAGAAGAGAAGCAAACAGTGATTATGGAAGATGAAGAAAAGGATGGAGACACAATCCCCAGTTAAGATTACAGTGATATTTCCAATAATGCAATGTAAATAATTCTGGGTCATTCAAAGTGGCAGCACATAAAAAAAAAAGTCCTTTCATTTTTATAAATAATAATTTTCTCAAGCACGCACTTGAAATTCAATTATCTTCAAGTGCTTATCTGCATCTCATGAAATCCCGGCAAGCATCATAGGAGATAATGACAGAAATTTCACTTACACATGGAGTTGGAAGGATTCTCTTAGTTTACTACAAGTGGCTTCCCAGGATTTTTGTCAATAAGGAATCCACCTCAGATCAGATCTAGCTTTGTGCAGTGTGGTGATGGGGGTTAACATGAAGGACACCACCATCAACTAAGGATTCAAATTGCATTTTTCTCCTGACATTTCGCCTCATTTGTCCAACTTTCTTCTGCTTGAGTAACACTGACTGCAGTGAAAATTCCCACCGTGCAGAGCTGATGGGATAGATGGAGAGTGTGGGCGGACAGGAATTCATTCCAGAGTCCCTGCAATGCAAAGCAAACACTTCTTCTGCCTGTATCTGCTCATGACTTGTGTTTGTGAGGAGAAAAGGGTACATTTACCATGGACAGCTAAGGGCTGTCAGCATTGAGACATCAAACAGGACGGAGGGCAGAGCTCTCAGAAAAGAAACATACAGGATGTGGAATGCCTGTCTGTGACACCACTGTACGCTATTGTTTTTTTTTCTCTTTAAAAGTTTTTATTCCTGGGTTGGTGAAAGATAAACTAGTTGGATAGTTGATCCTTTTACTCCATAATTTTTTTCTTTTGACATCGGCTTTTTAAACTGAGTCCCAGGTTGTCAGTTAGGGGGCTGTAAAAATTAAAAATCACTGCAGGAGATTCAAAATTGAGTAAAAGCATTGCTCCATGGCATGCACATACTGCATGGTGAAAAAGCACCACGCTGGTTTTTAAATAGTTTCACTCATTGATTCAATCAAGAACTGTTTTCACAGCCTGCTACAGCCTTCAGCATTTGTACAAACAGAGACAGGTACTTGTAGGATATTATACAAATAGGTAGTTTTGTGCTTACCTTAATAGTTCTGTGCGCTAGACGGAGCAGCACTGCCAGCTGGACCTTTGGGGACCTCAGCAGGGAGGGTAAGGATTATATAGCTCGGCAGACTGGCTTCAGCTATCTTTTCAACACCTTAGGCAGACAGCTGAGGAGCACGCTAGTTTGGACTTCATTTGCCACAGCGACTGACCCAGCATCTTTCACAAGAATGCAAGCCATTCACAGATATTCAGCTTCAAGATGTAACCAACAAGCTTATAATAAACGGTCATGTATTAAAGTGAACAAGAGGCCAGATAAATTATTAATGGGGTGTCTGATACCTAGAAGGTGTACTTTTTTTGTCGTGTTAATCTATCAGCAAGATGAGATAATATTCAAAATATAATCAGTACTTCATACAACAACATTCATGCAAGGCGCACATTAAAGCAAGTCACAGCAAGTACGTGACAAGAAATACAGTGTGATTCAAATCTAGGCTTACGAGTGAAGTTGATGGATATTTCCAGTGCACAATACAGCAAGACTGGGAGTGTGGAGTCCCGGAAAGATCCAAACGAACATCAGCAATGAATTAGCTGTGAAAAAGTACACAAAGGTCCTTAACACAAAACAGGAGCACAAATGGGATGTGACTGACTTCACTGCTCTGAAGAGGATTTGTTTCAAAGCCTGGGGAATGCTGACACAGCTTAATACAAAAAAAGAAAAGAGCACCCTTTAAGCCTAGCACTATATATTTATTCTTTGCCAAAGAGGAGTTATGGTCCCAGTGACACCTCTGACGGCACAGCAGCCTAATTTACCATCCCCGTATAGATCAACTCGAAGCCCAGCCATAAAAACATCGCAACATATATCATTTGCTGCAGTTGACTTAAAATTGCATATTCATAGCCTGGTGGTTTGACATTTACTATTTTTCCACCCAGGAGCAACATAAGCAACTAAAAAGTAATTTTTCACTTGGTCAATTAAGTAAGTAGAAGTTTTGCAATGTTCCTGGGAAGCAGCACAATGAATCGTTTCTCAAAGCTTTCATCTGCCTCATCGCACTCAGTGTAAGTGTTTAATGTTACTTCACTTTTTTTGTGAAAGTGTGAAATGTTACTAAAATTTCTGGAGCCAATTCTCAATTAACGTCTACCTAGAAACTAAGGGAGAGGTCCCTATTTCAACAGAATTGGGACAAGGGATTTAACGGCCTTGTGCTTTAGCTTTTTTTAAGCTAAGGATTGTAGAAAGCCCATCACCCATCTGAAGGGAATGTAATAAGCATTTTATAGGGCTAAGCGTGAGGTCCATAGGGGAAGTGAGTTGCCCAGCTAAACTGCAGCAGAAACAAATCCAAAGCAAGATGCATGGTGCTATCACAAACTCACACTGTCTCCACAGAAAAAGCAGCATTTTCATGCATTGAATTTAGCAACACTTACACTGAAATTTTGTCTGGTTGATAACTGTAAAATGCTTTGACCACTTAAAGTGATAGATGTGTTTAGATATCATAACTTATTATCTTCTTGTATTACCCATGCCACTCATACCTTTGGCCACGCATGTGAAAAAAAAGAGTAACAAATTTTGAGATTGCATTTTATACACATGACCGTACAGTATTCTTGTATGCAGAGATACTGCCCAGCAATTGCACTCACAAGCGAAAATCAAAAGTGCACGCCAGCGAAGCGCATTAGAAATACTGGCTTCTCACTTGTATTTTAGCTAAGTTCACAAACCCATATCATTCTGTTTCTTACATACCTGAAAAAGCAACGGGCCTCTTAGAGTGAGGTTATGCAAACAGAAATACCAGTATTCTGGAAATGTAGTGCTTGTAGATCAACAAAAGCAAAGAGTGAATGCGAAAAGCCAGTTTCCAACCATAGTACTGGCTCCTAGCCCTACAGAAAGAACCCATGTCAGTCCATCAGACACAGGAGCTGGGAAGGAAAGCTTAATCCATTCTTGTACCTGACATCCTGAAGAATCCTGAAAAGACACGGTTTAGACAGACGGACAAGCAGCAGAAAAATTAGAAAGCACATTCCAGAAATAAAAGAACCACTTTTAATGGACCATTTGTGCTTATTCTTACAGGTGTGATGATCCTGTAAAATGCAAGCTCTGTATTTATAACCATGAGGCACACTACCATGAGCTTTGGATTCTTCCAAGCTGTCAAGTCTTTTCCAACCTGTAAAGTAGGTTTTAGTCCCCCAGGTGGCCTTAGGATCTGAGATAAAGTTATAGCCACCCCAGGTTTACTTTTTCTGGAATGAACACTCAAGGGTCTCTCTGTGTCTCACTCAATGAGGATTTTAACATTCAGATTTTTAATTCAGACTTTAATCCTTTTCAAAAGAATGAACAAAACTCCCTCTCAAAAAACAGAGCACCAAACTTTCTTGACATAGCAAAGTGATTCAGTGATTAGGGCAAAGACTCTGTTCACAAATGGACTAAACAGAAAAAAGGCTAAATTTGCAAGTGTTGGCAGTTGCAACGAGTAATTCATAACAATTCTAAATGGCACCAAAAGTCTGAGATCATAAGACTTTCCAAGAGGGACAGGTTACTCAGACTCATTTCTATGCTGGCAGCAAATGGTTATCTGGGAAATCATCAGTGCAAAAAGAGGCTGAGTGCATTGCAAAGCCAGACCACCCCAAATAACACAGATTTAATTTCGGAACTTCATACTTACAAAACTTCCCTTTGGTGTACACTAGATGTCAGGGTTGGACTGGGAGGATGAGCCCATCCATTCCATCACACAGCTCTGTGCATCAGGCTGAATGCCATCAGCACAACGAGTTTTGCTTAGGAACTATTTCCGTGAAGCACCCAATATTTACAAGGAGCAGTCTGCACAAACATCCTCTCTCCCCCACTTTGCAGTATTTCATTTAGGCCTAAAGCCCCAGGCTTTGGAAGAGGGAAGAGACATCTTGAAGCTATCTTTCCAATACCAATGAGTATCTGCCAGCATTCTTCTCCTTCCTCAGCTCCAGGGAAAATAAAAAATAAAAGCACAGACAAGAACTGCTCCCTTGCGAGATACTAGTGACACAAACCCAAAGCCCCAGTAAACTGTTAGTAATAGTGAAAGGGGAGGGAAGAGGTTCCTGCCCCTTTTGACTTTTGCAAGTGACCCAGTGTTGTCCACTTGCCCAGAGATCAGTCAGGTAGGACTGCATTAGGTAAACTGGCAGCCAAAGGTATCTACAGGGAAGGAAATGACACAGACAGAAAATGTGTTTGGAACAACAGCATAATTTTGCATTTCTATGCAGCCTATTTGTGTAAAACATTTCAGGATATTCTACAGTAAAATACAGTTCTTGGGGAATTCCTAGAGATAAATCACATTTCACAAGCAGGAGGCTTTAAAGTGCATTCCTCTTCGCATTTGGTTTAGGCAGTGACCCAGGCTGCTGGAGTCACAAGTTCTGATGGTGGTTAAGGTCAACACCACAAACATGAAGCACAGAGACAAAAATAACTGAACCAAGGTGACATGACAGCACTCTGTCACCGGAGATGTCTAGCAAAACACTGTGGAGAGTGTGCCCAGAATTGTAGTGATCCCCTCTAAGGGAGCCAGGGGCCAGGAAAAACACCCCAGGTCTTTCATGCAACAACCAGCCACGATTTTAATGCAACTGTCACAGAGCCGGCTACATACACCGGCTAGCACAGTTTTTATGTTGGACACAGTTACACACTAGTATAACAGAATGCAAACTTACTGTGAGTGAACTTTCAGAAAATATAAAGAACAGAATTGGTAGGTAGCAGGGATATGTATAACAGAGAGAGGTCAGCAGAGTTTTTATAGAAGAAATCTTGCCTCAGAAATCTTTGAGACTTCCTTAGTGATGCCAATAATGATTTTCAGTTTTTCATTTTGACAAGGTCCTCCAAAGGCTGTCGAAGTGACTGAGATGTTGTGGATTGAAAGATCAGAACATACAATCTTAACATTGATAAATAACTGGTTAACAATGAGGGAAAGAAAAAAAGAAAAAGTGGGATGAAATGGTCTGTGTTCATAGTAAAGGAGGATTGCCCTCTCTGCTGTTCAATATGCTTATCCAGAAGATGTGATTTGGACAGAAGAAAACAAGCAGGGCACAGAAATGAAGGGTGTAAGATAACAAAAGAAAGAAGAAAAAAAAGAGGAAGAAGAAGAAGAGGAAGCTTACTTCAGTGTAATTGGCAAAACCACCAGTTCAGTGTTGGTAGGTGCAGAACAAT